ACTAACTACTACTACACACACACACAACAACACACACACACACACACACATATATATATATATATATATATATATATATATATATATATATATATATATGTGTGTGTGTGTGTGTGTGTGTGTGTGTGTGTGTGTGTGTGTATGTGTAGGTGTAAATTTCATTTTGCATACTTCGTTATAGTTGTGGAAAAGAAGATAAGGGCTTGTGATACACGCGATGTCTTTCACACAACTGTTTATATACCCATTTGTAATGTCCTAAATTGAACAAGGAGGCTATGGCCTGTACCAGGTTCATTCTACAATACCTATACCAATTAAATGTTAAAATGCCTATGCCAGTTTTAGAATGTTAAAATACCTATGCCCGTTCAATTTTAAATACCTGTGCCAGTTTAATTTCAAGTTGCCTATACCTATTGCTATGCATTTCTACATCATGAAGCGACTATCAGAGACACTACAGTCTACGTCGGCAATTCATCCGTTGTCATGGTGACCGTTATCAGTACTAATCACTAACAGCTAGCTGCTTAGCCTTGTGCATTGGGCCAGGGAGAGTCCCTTGCCGATAGAGGTCATACTCTCATCCGTACATGTTCATTCGTCACACATCTGAGTGTCCTTGCATCGTACTAGAATGCCTAACCACATAGCGCGAGAGAAGGCGTCCATGACAGCCCACATAGGCGTGTGCTGAGGGTGTTCATGAGTGGCGCTTCTTATCTACACGCTATGCACAGTGCTACAACAACCTCTCCCACAGCCTCGTAGCAGAGCACGTGTACCTGTGCACACAGGAAGGTGTCTCGTTGCAGCATGTTGGCCTGTACTATGTACCCCGTAAAGGGCTGCCCATGCGTTGGCTGGATCTGTCACACACACACGGTGAGGCTAAGCTTGTGCTGCGCCATGTGTCTAGTTCATCATATCCTCCTCATCAAAGCCATAGGACGGCACCAGACCCTGTGATGTGATGGAGACGCACACATCAGGTGAGGTCAGCTGAGTGTACTGTGGCTGCGGGGGATGCGACCGGTTGCAAATATCACGTGCCTATCAGGTTTGTGATATGTGGTTGAGCATGCTGGTTGCTAGGCAACAGTGCGGTATTTGATTGAAGACTTCGGATACTCGCTCACGCCGTGATCTGAAATAGAGCACAACCGTTGCTAGGTGCAGCAATCGTCAAATTACGTTTATAAATCATGCGGAGGCCATAGAGGCCTCGGTGTGGCATACACAGACGGCAAGACAAAGAAAGTGTGCACCGACGCATAGATGCACGTCTTAAGGTATGGCTTTACGCATACACAACCGATGACATATCTAACTTTATTAGTACCCTTAACGAACCTCAGAAGTACATGTCTATTTCCCGATGTGTGTTTGGTTTGCGGTGCATATATACGACACGCACTTGCAAGGCTCTATGAAAACCCTAAAACCCTATAACACTCGGGTATGAACATGATACCTACCTGAGATACGATGGTGGGTTCCTGGTCCTCGCTCTCAGCTGGCAGCCACCGCCTGACCCAACACGAGCTGAAGACGTGTGGTTTGTAGATAGACCTCCGCATGAGCATACGCGCACAGTCCTGTGCATTGGGGGCAGGTGCAGCGGATGAGGCAGCCGCATGAGCAAAACCACGCAGAGACAGACATACATCTAACCTACCTACAGTATACAGCATATATGGTCAGACATCTGTGGCAGACGCACGTGTACACACACCGTATGTGTGTAACACGGGTATGTAATAAACGTACGAACATCAGACACACACAAAGAACGTCCAGACGCTAATAGACATAAAACGTCTAATACTAGCACAAGCACAACACATGCATGCAGCAGATAGTATATATACACACACGCACACATAAACAAAACATATAGATATATATATATATATATATATATATATATATATATGGGTGTACCTGGACGGCCTCGCTGAGAGAGGGGTGAGGATGCAGTACATTCTCTAAGCGAATGCACGAGCCCTTCTCGTGGATTAACATTGCTGCAGCCTCAATGACCGACGACGACCCCTCACCAGCCACACGCAGACCTGTATGTGTGCGTATGTGTGTTTCATTCAGCATGTGGGCATCTAGACAACATATATTTGTGTGTATGTGATAGTATGAGTGTCACCATACTTTGAGTTTGTATGTGCGAGCGTGTACATGTGCGTGCCCATACATTGTATTTGTATATGTGCAAGTGTACATGTATGTATGTAGTGTGTGTGTGTGTGTGATTATGTGTGTTGATGTATGTGTGTGTGTGTGATTATGTGTGTTGATGTATGTGTGTGTGTGTGTGTGATTATGTGTGTTGATGTATGTGTGTGTGTGTGTGTGTTTATGTGTGTGTGTGTTTATGTGTGTGTGTGTTTGCGTGTGTTCATATATGTGTGTGTATGTGTTTATGTGTGTGCGTGTGTATTGTGCATGTGTGCCTCCATTGCATATACTACGTGTCTGTGCATACCTAGTAGTGTGGGGTGTTCGTCGTCATCGGCGACAATCATCTTCACAAAGCCACTTCGCTCCAGCCGTGACTCGCCCCATTCCAAACGCCGTTTGACACTCTCTGCGCCCGTCATATCCTCTGAACTAGGCGCAGCATAGTACTCAGCCGCATACTGCAGGTGTGTGCATACGCATATGTTAAGTGTGGCGAAGGCGTGTACATACGGATATGTTAAGTATTGTACATATTTATATATATATATATAATATATATATATATATACATATATAGACATTTATAAAAACAGATATATACATATAAACATTAATATATATATAAACATTCATAAACAATATATATATATATATATATATAATATCTAATGATATACATATCTGTAAACACATTCTAAAGCACGCAGCGGAGATCCACACAAACGTGGAATACCACTGTCGGGATAAACAGAGGCACACACTCACGTGATAGACCACATACACATACTAGAAGCCATCCTTATTACACAGGGTATAGTAAAACCCTAAACCCTACCCCGTTGCCCCGTGTGTGCTTACCTGTGGTCGGTTGATGATGCCTCTGTTGGTCAGCGCAAACCCTACGCGAGCCACGCGGTGAGCAATGCCCTGACGACGCGCCTCTTGCTCATTCATCCCTACACACGAGATCTCCGGCTGCACACAAAGCCAACGCACCACAGTGCCAGTACGAGTATGGATACGACAGGGATAAGAAACCTTAAACCTTAAACCGGGATAAGGGTTAGGGTTTAAACCCCTAACCCCCCCCCCTAACATCGCTTCTAATTATGGAGGCTAAACAATCTTATGCGTATCTGGGCAGCCCTCTCACAGCCCTCGAGTAGTGCACCTGAATGCAGGGCTAGGACAGGTCTACGAGCCGTAACTAGCAACCGATTAGGAGTTAATCACCTCAAGCAAACTATTCTGTCGCAGATAAGGCGTCTTGGTTGCTAACATGTGGTACTATTACGACACTCCCGCTGAGAAGAGCTCCATTGAGCTTTCGAAAAAGATACTTATTGTACCCATAACTGTACGCGTGGTAACCATGACAACCATGGTGTACTTACCCTCAAGAACATGATGCTGGACACGTTGTCATACGTCAGCGGAGTGGCCTGTGAGCGAAAAAATACGCAGAGTAATGATAAGCACAGCACATGTGTTATGTGGAGAGAGAGTGATGATAAGCACAGCATAT